GCATTGTTAGTTTTATTGACTGCTACTACACACTTAGCATATGTTTTCAGAGAACTATACACAATGATTCAAAGATATTTCTTGAGTGATAACAGATAATTTAGAACTTATTTTCTGCGTATAGTTGGAGTAATAATTTCCAATGTGCACTATTTGGCACTCATCAACATTGAATTTCACTTGCCCTTGTGTTGCCCATCATCCTGATTTGTTAGAGTCCTTTGAAACTCTTCAAAGTCAGCCCTGTACCTAACTATTTTGGGTAATTTAATACCATTTGCAAACTTTGCCACCTCGTTCTTGATCCTTGTTTCCAGATCATTTATGCAAATATTGAACAGCACATGTTGTAGTACAGCTCCTAAGAGGTAGAATAGCACTACTGACATTTTTATTCATTATAATTTAAATGCTGTTGTTGAATATGCTGCTACATCTGTTCTAATAAAATTAGAACTGATTTGCAAAATGTATAAAAATATGAATTCCTTTTACTACTTAAATGTCACTTGATGTTTGCCAGGATCATCGCTTTAGCTTAATGCATCTAGTGAGAAGGGTTTCCACTTGTCTTCCATCTTGTCTTATTTTAGTACTTGTGAGCACCCAGGCAATCAAGGCAGGGTCTGTTAAGATTCCTGTTTAAAATTATTTTCTGACTTGCTAAATCCAGCTGTGTAAACTCATTCTGAAGTAAAATACCTTTGCATAATGTGAAATAGTATGACTCAGGGTCTCTGACTGTTGGTCTAAACTGGTACCTTACAGAGTCTTTTAAAATCCCAATTTAAAAAATGTAGTAAACTTTAACCAAAAACCATCACATGTTAAGAAACTGTTCTTGAGAACGTTTTGTCTGATTGCCACGTAAACAATCAGAATTTTTTGATTGGTGATGCATGTTGTGTGTGCTGCAGTTGTAAAACCCATAAATGTCCCTCCCCCCCAAAAAAAGTTAAGACTGTAATTTAATAATTTTTCCATCATCAAAGCCTCATTTGTTTGTAAATTGTACTTTTCATAGTTCCTGCATACTTAGGATTGTGTATGTATGGCCTCCATATGTCTCGAAAGATGGTGGGGATGCAGCATTAAACTGGTCGCTTTTTGCAATGTTTTGTATGGCTCAATATACCAATGCGAGAAAGGCATGTTCGGCTGCAGTAGGTACAGCTCCATGCTGTAGTAGTGTTAGTTGTTGTCATCTGTGCTTTCCTCTTCATTCTTTTCTTGTCGTAGTGCTTTGTCTTTCGCAGAGTTGTTGATGCCAAGTATTTCTGTCCATTGCCAGGTTTTCCCAGCTATCTGTGTCTATCCAAAACTTTACCAAAGCAGCTTTGCAGCCGTCCTTGAAATGGAGTTTAGGGCATCCTTTTGGTCTAGTTCCCTCTGCTAGTTCTCTGTACAAAATGTTCTTTGGGATGCAGTTATCGTCCATTCTCTTCCTGTGACCCAGTCACCGTAGCCTTCTATTATGCAGAATGGCTCCCATGCTTGATATTCCAGTTCTTTCTAATACTTTCTCATTCAGGACTTTATCTTGACATTTGATGTTCAAAATTTTGTGTAAGCAACAAAGATGGAAAGAGCTAAGTTGTTTTTCTTGGCTTGCATAGGTTGTCCATGTTTCTGATCCATAGAGAAGAACACTCAGCACACATTCTTGGTAGATAAGTATCTTTGTTCTAATTGTGAGCTTTGAGTTTGCCCATGCACATTTTGTTAGTCTACTGAAAGTAGTAGCTGCCTTTCCAATATTAATGTTCAAGTTATGGTTGAACCTAAGTAGGAAAACTTCAAAACTACTTCCAAATGGTTATTTAGCATAATACATGTTACCTTGTGCAAGGACCAGTTTTCTTAACACTAATGGTAAGAGCAAATTGTTGACAGGTTCTTGACAATTGGGCCATAAGATCCTGGAGTTTTGTTTCATTATGAGCTATAATAGCAGCAGCAGCAGCAAAGAGCAGTTCTCTGATAAGCATTTTCTTTATCTTGCTTTTCGCCTGCAGTCTAGCTAGATTGAAAAGTGATCCATCAGATCTTGTATGGAGGTAGATGCTGCCATGTGAGTTCTTGAATGCACAACTTAGGAGGACTGAGAAGAATATTCCAAATAGAATTGGAGCAAGAACACAGCTCTGCTTTACTCCTGTGTTCACCTGAAAGCTATCTGATGTATATCCATCAAACTGGATAGTAGCTCTCATATCCTCATGAAAAGCTATAATCAGCTGCAATAGTTTTGGTGGGCAGCCTATTCTCTCAACTAGAAGGTAAAGTCCTTGTCGATTAACAGTGTCGAATGCCTTTGTGAGGTCCACTAAAGAGATATAAAGTGGCATATTTTGCTCACAGCACTTCTCCTGTAGTTGGCAAAGGGAGAAGATAATATTGATGGTCGATCTTCCTGTACAAAAACCACACTATGACTCTAGATGTATGTGATTAGCCAACAGTTGGAGGTGTCTTAAGATGACTCTTACAAAAGCTTTACCTGTGATGCTAAGGAGAGAGATGCCACGATAGTTGTTACAATCTCCCTTGTCTGCTTTGTTCTTGTATGAGGGAACAATATTTGCATCTTTCATATCTTGTGGTATTTCCCCCTTTATCCAGCAATTCAGAAGGAGGTCATAAAGAGGGGGAATGAGACAGTCTTTGTTGTGCTTGAGTACTTCATTAGGAATGCAATCTATGCCTGGTGCTTTTCCTCTTGACAGTGCGTCTGTAGCATCTATCAGTTCCTGCTTGCTTGGCATGGCATCAAGTTCTTGCATTTGTTCCATAGTGGGAATCAAGTCTCCAGTTTCTGACATGTTTCGTTCCTCTGAATACGGCTCTGAATAGTGCTCAGTCAGTCTTGGCCATTTGATTGCTCTTGTTTGTAATTGAGATACCCTCCTTAGTTTTTAGGGGAGCAATCTTAGTAATGTTGGGACCTAAATCTCTCCTAAGGCCTTCATACATGATTCTTGCATTTTCTGTATCGGAGGCAACCTGGATGTTGTTGCAAATATCTATCCAGTACTGATTTATGCAGCACCTGATCTCTCTCTGGAGTAGGCCTTTTGCATGCTGTAGTTTGGCCTTCGTGCTGTCAGGTGGATTCTTGATGTATTCAAGATATGCTTCGTTCTTCTGCTTTATGAGGGGCTTCAATCTGTCAGCATTTTCCTCAAGCCAGTCCTTATTGGATGACTTTTTTGCCAAAAGCTTCACGGGCTGCTTCATAAATAGCGCTGCAAAGAGTTTGCCATGTTTCTTCAACTGATTCTGCATGTGCATTCTCTTCCCACTTTTTTGCAAAGGCTTTCGCAAAGGCTTTACATTTAGCACTATTCCTTGTGTTCACGCAGTTAATTTTTGGCTTTTTGTTCAGTGTGGTTCAATGGATTTTTTTTGCTTTCAGTTTTGTTTTACTAACAATGAGGGGAATGGTCTGTGTCACAGTCAGCACTATGATAGGTACATGTGGACTTTACGCAGTTTAGGTCCTTTCTTCGCACTAAGACAAAATCTAGTTGATGCCAGTAGCCTAACCATGAGTGGCACCAAGAAACTTTCTGGCCGCCTTTTCCAGGAAAGAAGGTGTGTGTAATGCAGAGTTCATTAATAGAACAAAATTCAAGTAGCCTTTGGCCATTCTCATTCATTTTTCCGATGCCATGATATCCCAAGCAAATATGCCATGATGAAATATCAATGCTCACTCTTGCATTGAAGTCTCCCATGATGAAAAGTTGTTCAACTACTTTCTGTAAGCTCTCATAAAAGTTATTTTTATGCGATAGTATCAAAGACTTTCTGCAAGCTGTCATAAAAGTGATCTTTATTTGTGCTATTTGTTGTCAGATTTGGTGCGTAGGCACTGATGATGTTGACTGATTCAGTGAACAGTCGAAGAGTCATAATGCACTCAGATTCAGCACTAGGCATGTCTGTAGACTTGAGCAGCGAGTTGCGAATGGCAAAACCAACTCCATGCAGGCGTTTCTCATCATTTTTTTCCTTGCCAAAAAAAATGTAGTGGGGCTCTCTAATGGATCCGTAATCGGCAAGTCTAGTCTCTTGAAGGGCAGCAACATCGATGCTCAACCTGACGAGTTGTTGATCTATTAGCGCAGATTTTCTGATGATTATGGTCTTATTGTCGGAATTATTACTAAGTCCAGGACACATGGTTCTTAAGTTCCACGTTCTCAGTCTGAAATTTGAAGTTTTTCTGTTACTGCTAGGCACGTGATTTCATCTGCTTTTTGAATTTTGGTCTAGTCCCATGCTCCCAATGACCAGCGTGTCTCAGGTGGGTCAGCACCTAACTGTCCGGGGACTGCCTGCACTAGTGGAGTGCGATGACTCCTCCCACCATCGAAAGTGACCCTCATCCCTAATTTAGGAAGGCTTATAACCGGTATCTGCCGCTTTCTCTGTTATGACCATGCTTGATAGCAAGGATGGATGTCCTCTCCATCTTGTCTTCTGCTGCATTGCCTGGGCAGATAATATGGAGATCATGCATTGCCCAAGGACACTATCTCCCTCTCGATCCTTCCAGTTAAGCCCAAAGGAAAGGCAAAAGTCTATATGCTTGGAACTGGACTGATTGTAGAAGATGCGGGAAAACAGATTAGACACATCCTTCCTGCTAACCACCTTAGGGCCTCCGCTCCTGATTTTCTGTTTGGGTTTACTCCCATAGCCTTTGATTCTCCTGAAACTACTTGCAAAGCAGTGAGGGATTTTCTTTCAGGGGTTTCTTCCTTTAGCCTTCCACCCTCCTGGGCTAACCCACAAGGCAGTGGGAGGCGTCAGCCTTGATTGATTTAGGATTGACTGTGGAAATATAATGGTATGAATATAGATTTTTGCTTTGAGGATTTACCCTGAATTGCAAGTATAAAGCTACAACTTGTTGTATTTGTAGGTGGCTTAGTCCACTTAAATATTTTGAGATGATACTTTTTAATGTCGTAAATATCTCTTTCTTCTCTTAGGAAGCATCACAAGTGGGTCTACAGAACTCTTTGAAGTTCCCGACACATGGTAGCCAGCATCTGTATTAATAAAAATTTGAATCTGATTCAAAGCATTTGCAAGAGTATACCACTTGGAAGCCATACTTTATTTAAATAAAAAGTGGTGTGAAAAAAGAAGTATGTCTCCTGGAAATGAATTTAATTTTTTAAACTGTTGACTGAACAATCACTGTCAGTTTTATTCATGTATTAACCAGATTACAATTCTGTCTGATCATGTGAAATCTTTGTTGTCGTAAATAATGTTAGATTAAGAAACAAGACTAAATGTCTTTTGGTTACTATTATGGCATGTTCGCTGTGAAATGTACATAAAGAATCAGCACTATTATGAATTTTGTTAGGTTGTGTCCTGTATTTGAGGGGAGTTATCACACAAGTCTTCTCATCATATGTTCGGGGAATATCAGTATGCTATCAGCAGTCCTGAACAGATAAACCTCACTATTGGTTACTGCTTCCTACCAGTTACCCTGGAAACCTTACAGTGTTGCCCTTTCTGCCTAGGAGGAAGACTTCAGCCAGTATCTGTCTGGAAACTAGTCCTACACCTATACTATCCTTGTGTCCTCTTGGGAAAAAATTACGAAAAAAAATTAATGTTGGGGGGAAATGGGTTTTCTTTGCTGTTTCCACTCTTAAGTCTTGATCTGGTTTTCCATGGTTTGTGTATTTGTAAAAATGTTTTTGGAACCTGTGACAAACCTGCAAACTGCACCAGCCCTTTATTCATTATAAAGATCTGCTTTGGTAGATTTCAGAAACTTTGATATTTAACATTTTTGTATCATGGAAATAAAGACAAAAAATGTATTTCCATAAAATTAAAATTAAACATTTTCTTAGGACGCATTGTGTCTTTATTTTTCATGTCATGTATTTGACTTCTCTTATTTTGCCATTCACATATGGTGGCTTTATAAATCTGTTTCCAGCATATCATTCTAACGAATGGAGTAACTATCAGATATCTATATTCATAGTGGAGCCTGAATCCTCCTCATTTAAACACAATACAGAAATGCAATACAACACCTTTCCCATTTAAACACGATACCCTTGGAGGTATTGGGTGAAGAAAAAAAAACTTGATGATCTATAGCAGCTGCCTCAAATTCTTAAGTGTAATTTTAAATTTTTCCTGCTTGCCTTTGCTTTTAAAATATTAAATCTTGACATGTTGAAGGCAGCGTATTCATCTGACAATACAGGAGTGGACTGGCTTTTATGGGGGAAACTAGTTTCAATTTAGCATTAATGCTCCACTGCTTTGTCCAGTGAGGAAGAGTACAGGCAGTCCCCGGGTTACGTACAAGATAGGGACTGTAGGTTTGTTCTTAAGTTGAATTTGTATGTAAGTCTGAACTGGTACATATTGTAGGGGAAACTCTAGCCAAACATTTCTCCAGAGCTCAGTTTTATTCTCCCACACCTCACTTCCCTCAGTCCTTTATTCTCAAGCTGAGGTGTCTGCTGAGAGAAGCCGCTCCACGTCTCCCTGGTCTGCTGGGGGGGGGCGCTAGCTTCGCGTCTCCCTGGTCTGCTGGGGGGAAGCAGCTAGTGCGGGGTTGCCTCACCCTGTTTGTAAGTAGGGATCCGATGTAAGTCGGATCCATGTAACCCGGGGACTGCCTGTATATGTGACTGCAGTTGGGGAGGTGATAGTAATGAATCTGAATGAGCTTTTGGAGCTCCCCAGGGTCTTCAGTAAGACTTAGTATGGATCACCAAGTTCTGTGTGCCTTCGGTGGCCTCAAACCACAATGAGACTTCAAATCCCTCCTCAAAGTTAGTATAATAATTGAGTAACACAATAAGAACGTATGTGGAAAGAGTTTCAGATGTTGAGAGGTACAAATTAAGATGCAGTCACAATATCTGATTTCATATCTATATTCTCTAAAAATGTGATTTTTTTCAAGAAGGCAGAGTCCTAAAATATGTGAATGGATTAAAGATAACATCGTTTGAGAAGGAGCTTACAAGTAGTGCATATATTCAAAAATAACACAGTAGTTTCATAACTTTTTAAATCATAGCAACTGTCTGAATATGGTACATTACATTTCTTCAGACTGGGCCAGATATATCAATGCATGTGCTATGAGATTTTTTTTCAATCTGTAAAATAGTAATTGTTCTTCTAGAAATTCGGCTGGCTTTTCTGGTGGAAGCTAGCTTTAATGCTGAAAACTATTTTACTACCATATCTTCAACTATCACATTTTGTCTCGTTTGTTTAGCATTTTGGGGCAGAAACTCACTGTATGCACATTGGCATTTTGATTGGTGCTTTGAACTGCTACCGTGTGACTGCCTTTTAAAAGATAACAGTGCTTTCTTCAAGAGCTTGCTCATGTCTGTTCCATTTTAGGTGTGTATATACCCACATGCGCAGCATTGGCGATTTTTGCTTTAGGGATTGCCCCCATGCCAATTCCCCTCTTCTCCTCTGCAGTACTGCCACTGTTCTCCCTGTTGTCTGCCAATCAGTCATGTCTAGTCAGCATTCACCAGTAGACAGGCCCAGGCATTGGCAGCTTCTCCCTGGTTATGAGAGGGTGGTTCCCCCATGTAGGGAGATCCAATTCAGCACATTACCCCAGTCTCTATGATGAGACTGAGCACTAGAAACTTCTCTGCCTTCCATGGCACCGTAATGGCAGCACAGCCAATGACTGACATTTTGGCCATATTGGAGAGCTTAGGAGCCTAAAATAGTAGAACTGGAAGGGACCTCAAGAGATCACAGAGTCCAATCCCCTTCCCTCAAAGCAGGACCAAGCACCGTCTACATTATCCCTGATAGATGCCTATCTAACTGTCTCTTAAACATCTCCAATGATGGAGATTCTACAGTCTCCCTAGGCAATTTATTCTGGTGTTACTGTCTGGGAGGTTATAAAGTTTTTCCAAATGTTCAACCTAAGCCTCCCCTGCTGCAATTTAAGCCCATTGCTTTTTGTCCTATCATCAGAGGCCAAGGAGAACTATTTTTCTCCCTCCTCCCTGTGATACCCTTTTAGGTACTTGAAAATGGCTCTCATGTCCCCTCTTCTTTTTTCCAAATCAAGCAAGCCCGGTTCTTTCAGTCTTCCCTCACAGGTCATGTTTTCTATATGTTTAATCATTTTTGTTGCTCTTCTCTGGACCTTCTCCAATTTCTCCACATCTTTCTTGAAATGTGGTGCCCAGAACTGGACACAGTACTCTAGCTGAGGCCTAATCTGTGCAGAATAAAGTGGAAGAATGACTTCTTGTGTCTTGCTCACATCACTCCTGTTAATGCATCCCAGAATCATGTTTGCTTTTCCTGCAGGAGTGTCTCACTGTTGACTCCTATTTAGATTCTGGTCCATTATGGGTGTGTCTACACAGCAGTTTTATTTTTTAATGGCTATTATTTCAAAATAATGCAAGCATCTACACAGCAATTCCGTTATTTTGAAATAACAGATGGCTTGTTTCGAAATCTGGAAACCTCATTCCACAAGTGGTGACAATGCCCCTTTCGCCATGGCTATCGGTGTCTACATTAGAGCAAATATCAACAGCTTTACTGGCACTGAGCTCAGTACGGGAAGCATGCTCTAAGGTCAGAGTGGAAGATTCAGTCCCCACTCTCAAACCTCCTTCTCCAGCAGCTGCTGAGCCCTCAGTGCTTCCACTGGCAGCGACAGCTGCCTCATCTTCTCCAGATGACATGGTTGCAGGGCCTTCCCTGGCTAGCACCCAGCTGACTTTAAAGAACATCAAATCCTTCTCAGGCAGATGTGGGGCTGGAAGTGCAGCAAATGGCTGAGCAGGAAGACACCAGTTTCAATCTCTCCTTGGTCTCCATGCACCATCCCAGGTTCGTCTCCCTGTACACAATGGGGTCTTCAAGACCCTATCCGCTGGGTCATCCACCTTGAAACAGGCCAAGAAAAAAAGCTTTGTCCCAGCCAAAGGTTTTTGGATCTTTCATATTCACCTTTTTTCCAGGCTCTCTGTTGGTGGTAGAGGCCAACAAGAAGGATTAACAGTTCGTCATTGCCTCTACGCAAGAGAACAGAAAAGCCGAGAAATGTGATTTATTTGGTAGCAAAATTATTCCACAGCCAGTTTACAATTCCAGGTGACAAGCCATCATGCCCTGCTGGGCCAATACAATTTTAATCTCTTCCAAAAGTTCTAGGACTCACATCCTCGGGGTCAGGCTCAGAAGTGTGGTACCCTGGTAGAGAAAGGGACTGCATCAGCCAGATGCTCCCTGCAATGGCATGGGACTCAGCAGCAAGAGTATTGATATGTCACAGCTCCTGTTTCCAAGCAGTGGACCTTTCCCAGGGGATGTAGGTCTCTATTCACGATCTCCCCTTTGATGGAGTTTGGCTCTTGTCTGATCAAACAGATGCCAGGCTACACAGATCGAAGGACACTAAGGGCTCGTCTACACTGGCCCCTTTTCCGGAAGGGGCATGTTAATTTCAGCTATCGTAGTAGGGAAATCCGCGGGGGATTTAAATATCCCCCGCGGCATTTAAATAAAAATGTCCGCCGCTTTTTTCCGGCTTTTAGAAAAGCCGGAAAAGAGCGTCTACACTGGCCCAGATCCTCCGGAAAAAAAGCCCTTTTCCGGAGGATCTTATTCCTACTTCAAAGTCCTACTTCTAAAAGCCGGAAAAAAGCGGCGGACATTTTTATTTAAATGCCGCGGGGGATATTTAAATCCCCCGCGGATTTCCCTACTACGATAGCTGAAATTAACATGCCCCTTCCGGAAAAGGGGCCAGTGTAGACGTAGCCGATGGCTATCCATGACTCGTTGGGCATGTATGCCCTTCAGTCTGCCAGAAAGCAATTCTTGCCTCAGTCACTGTTCAGGCCTTGGGAAGCCTCACAGGTATCTGTGAAAAGCAGGGACACCATGTTTACACATTGCAGTCCTTCTTCCTCTCAACCACCAGCCCAACCCAGATCCACTAAGCACTCGGGGGCAGTGGAAAGGCAAAAATTACCATTCTGAACAATGCCCTAGTAAGTTGGCTGAATCCTACCTATTGTTTCTTCAACCACCTTTCCTTTAAGGCAAGGATTAAAATGGAGTGAGAAACCAGATGTAGAGCATGACTAATGGAGTTGGTGCTCTCTTCAGTGCTGAAGCAGCAGCACCCATCAGTGCTCAGTGCCCTGCCTGCACTGTCTATTAGCCGGCACCAGTTCCTATCTTCAGATCCAACCAAGAAGACCTGTAGGGGTTGGACTCCCTGTAAGAGGAAGAATAGGGCTGGGGCCCAGCTAAGACCCATGCTGGACATTTCATCTCATTCAGGAATCACTTATGCTGAGCAGTGCAGCCCATCTCATTCCTTGCTGGAAGCCTATACACGGAGGAAGGCCTCCATTAACTTCAGGTGTAGTAGACTTCTGAAGCCCTCCTGCCAATTCTGGTGCCACCCAGTCCCAGGAGTAAGCTTGCCTTGAGACCATACTGTCCTTCCTCACTCCAGTCACACCACTCCTCATCGTGGGGGGGTGTCCTGTCATTGGTGCCCACATGGGGAGGCTGGTTCAGTGGAACCCTCTCTGGTCACCAAATTCTGGGTGCCAGCAGAGGGAGTTGAGACAGACTGCCAGCTACCTGCGAGAGCTCCTTAGAGAGGTGCTCCACCAGGCATGAATGTCAGGACCAACTTTGTGAATTGCTGGGGTGATGTTATAGTTCCCAGGATCAGTTGGAGGACAGGAACTGTGAGCCTTGTTGCTGGTCCCTGAGATGGGTATGACCATGGGCCGAGCAATCCCCTCCGAGAGACTGGTCCACAACCTCCCAGTCTTGATCCTTCA